TTTACCGTCACCAGGGTCTTCTCCACCACGTTACGGATAAATTGGGCCATGGTTCTAGTAGAGAAAGCCTATGGCCCCAAATGGCCAGTTGAATGTCACCTCTGGGAAGTGGACAGTATCCTTTTACTATTTAGTCTTTTGCTTGATTTTGACCTCTGGTCCATTGTTCAGGACCTTTTATTTTTCAGAAACGGGTAACTAAGTCATCCTTCCCATTGAATGAAATTACATTTCATTCATTTCCACTGCTAATTAGTCATCGATCGTGTGTTGTTAGATGCTCTTGAGTAACAGAGTTCCAGGCTGTAACTTGTAGGAGCAGGTTGCCAAGTGTTTTCCTGTGGAGTCGGCTGGGTGATTCAGAATAGCCAGCCTTTCCATTAACAGCCCAGCATTATCCATTCTGCTAACATTAATTTGCTTACCTTATTTTCCAGCTATTGAATATCTATACCCATCTCACTCCCCCCACCCCCTTTGTTTCTCTCCAACACTGCTGCTATGAGCTTTGCCTTCTGGGGTCCTGCAAATGTTTCTCCAGGTTTGTTTACTGCGGAGGGGAAATGATGGGTCTTGGGTATGCCACTGCTGAACTTGACATGATAATATCAAAATTGTTAACCCAATATTATTCCAGTTTCTACTCACCAGCATCTACCTCTTCTCTTAACACCTCAGCCATCTGTAGTTCCCACCCCTCCCCTCCCCCCAATGAAATGCTCTTTATACACTCTGGCTACTAATTCTTTGCCAGTTATATGGGTTGTAAATTTCTTCTCCACTTTGTGGCTTTCTTTTCACTTTGTTTTGATAAATAGATCGTCTTAACTTTGAATTTATAAATAGGATGTTTTTTCTCTCTTCAAAAAAATATGTAGTTTTGCTTTTGATACTTACATCCTTATTCTCACTAGAATTTTTTTTTATGGGGGGTGATGTATGGTGTGAGGTAGGGATCCAGTTTTACCTTTTTCCGTACCTTGCCCCCACCCCCAGGTTCATTTATTGACTAGCTCCATCTTTCCCAACTGATCTAGTTCAAACTTGTCATTAACAGCCCATGTATTCCACTTGACAATTTTACCTGATGCCAACGTCACACTATTTATTGTTATTTACTAGGGAAAACCATTCCTTGTTATTTTTCTTCTTCATTAATGACTATCTTGGTATTTTGGGTTTTTTATACACATTTTAGAACAAGCATTTCAAATTGCACACACACACACTGCATGGATTTTAATTGGCATTGCATTGACTATATTGATCAATTTGGGGAGAATTGACATCTTCATGATGCTGAGTTTCCTGTTCCAAGAACAAGGAATCACTCTATTTTTATTAGGTCTTCATGAATGCCTTTCAGTAAAGGTTATTATTCTTGAGTCTAGATCTTGGACATGTTTTGTCGGGATTCTTCTTAGATACTCTGTAGCTTTTGTTGCTACAGGAAAATGGCACCTTTTAAAATTACACTTTAAACCTTTTTGGTGCTGGTGTAGAGATGAGCCTGAGTTGTGTATATAGAGGGTGTGTCCAGGCACCTTACTTTCTTCTTTCTAGTAATCTTCCTGATGATCCTGGTGAGTTTTAATGTAAATGATCATTCTATGAAAATACCCGTTGTATTTCCAATTGTCCAGTTCCTATTATTCTCTATTTTGTTTTAGTTATTTTAGCAGTTTTATTGAGATATATTTCACACGCCTTACAACTCAGTGGTTTCGATGTATTAAAAAGTTGTGCAATCATCATCACAATCAATTTGAGAAGATTTATTCACTCTTGGACCCATTTTTATTAGCGACCCCTTACCCCCTAATGTCTCCTGCCATAACCTTGTTGTTGATTTCTAGGTACCATTGAGTCCGTTCTGACCCATAGTGACCCGATCTATGCACACAGCGTGAAGCCCAGCAGACGGAACGGAACGGGGTGGCCCAGGATTGTGGGCCTTCCTCTTTCTCATGGACCCTCTACCAAGCACCATGTCCTTCTCCCGGCACCAGCCTTTTCGGACAACATGTCCAAAGTCTCACTATCCTTGCCTCTAAGGAACAGAACTGTGGCCTTACTTCTTCCAAGACAGGTTTGATCACCCTTTTGGCAGTCCATGGTACTTTTAATTGTTTTTACTAGCACCTAAGCACATCGATTCTTCTTTGGTCTTCCTTATTCAGTGTCCAACGTTCACCTGCACATAACCCTAAGGAATCATTAATCTAGTTATTGTCTACATATTACCTAGCCTAGATTTCGTATAAAGAAAAACATTTAAAAACAATAGTTGGGGGTTGGTAAGAGGGAGCTGATATCAAGGAGTTCAAGGAGGAGGAGAATGTTTTGAAACTGGTAGCAATTGTACAATACCGCTTGACGTAATTGAACTGTGGATTGATGCGATCGCTGTAATAGCTCCCAGTAAAATGGTTTTGGAAATAAGCAAGTAAATAAACCAATAAGTAAAACACAGAAAAACCTCAATCCAAGTGAAAGCAGAAGGCAACGGAAACCAGATCAGATTAAAAATGATCCAAAGGGAAAGCAAGTGTTACTAGGTTAAATTTTAACCTTGCTCCTCTATCTGCAGTGACCCCTCTCCACTGCACTCTTCGAGGGCCGGACTCTTCACGTCCTGCGAGCACTTCTCGTTGTCTTAAGGAGCTCGTTGGTTGGACCCGAGCACTGTCAGTAGAAACGATGAGAGCAGGCATTCTGGACTTCATCTCGACTTTTGAAAAGGCAACTTAAGATAATTTTGGGGTAGATGTTTTGGGTAAATTTAGAATAGTATTCTTGTAGAGTTGGCACATCTCTCTGTGTCCTATTAAAGGAGAAAAACCCAAAGAACTACCACGACCGGTTGCCAGCGAGTCCTTTCCCACGCATGGTGACCCCACGTGCTGGAGGGTCAGACTGCTGTACACGCCTCTGACTGGCTGGTCATTGAAAGTCTATTCTGGAAGTCGGTTGTAGGTTCTGAAAGTAGGTGCCTACACCTTTCTTTCAGGCTGCTCAGGGTAGACCCAAGCTCACAGTGGGCTTGGTGCGATGACAGTACATTTGAGCAGACATTGTGCGGGTATGTGTGCGTCCACTCCTGCTCTTGCTCTCTCCGCTCAGAATGGCGAGTCTTTCATAAGGGATCCAGAGTAAACCTCTGTATGAAAATCCAACAGGCATCCTGACTCCTCAGGGAACAGAAATAAACTCGTAAGATACCAAGATTGGAGATTTTATGACTTAACTGCAGCATATTATTTAAAAAGTGACTGCTGAGTTATTGCTCTTTGTTGTCTCGTTTTTTCACTTAAATAAATCACTGCTAATGTTGTTGATGTTGTTGGTATTTTTATTTTTAATAAACATTAACCGTTTTTTTAGCACTTTATCCACACGTCATGCAGTTCAGTCATATCAAGAAGGGTTGTACGATCATCAGCACACTCAGTTCTAGAAGGACACGTTCTTCTTCCTTGTGCTCACTATATCATTTTATAATCGACTACATCATGATATCATAGGCTCTCTATTACATCATCTTGGTTTTCTAGTTCATTTTCTGTTCTTGATCATCTGCCTTCCACCGCCTTTGAGTACAGCCTTATTCTTAAGTTGTGTGCTTGGTTCATTTTCAGCCTTTTCCCCATAAAAAGTATTAAGACAATGCATTTCTCTTTCCTATCCATAAGGTTTAGTACATACTAATATTTTTATCATGCAGTAATCATGATAGAAATTTGATTATATAATCAAATAGAAATTTGATTATATAATCAAATAGAAATTTGATTGTACTATCATCTATGATTCATAAAGTATTAAAAAGTATGTTCTTTATGATAGATCTAGCGAGATTTTAACTTTTGACATAATTGCATTGTGACCAGAGGAAATGATTTGTATGGCATCTTCTCTTTAAAATTCACATTTTTTTTCATCGTGTAGTGGTTACTTATTGTCCTGTTAACTGGCAAGGTCAGCAGTTCTAAACCACCAGCTGCTCCAAGGAAGATGGTTATTAACTCCTGCTAATAGTTACAGTCTTGGAAGTTCTGCCCTATAGGATTGCTATAAGTCAGCATTAACTTGATAGTAGTGAGTTTGGTTTTTTTTTAATGGGCAAAATATTCAATTACATGAAGAACAGAAAGTGGGTGAAAGGAATGCAGAGTCACTATACCAAAACTATTTGGTCGACAGTCACCGTTCCGGAGGTAACATGACCAAGGACTGATGAGGTCTGCGCTTCGCCGAAAGCCTGGTGAAAACCAAGCTCCAGAAATGGACAGAATGCCAGTTGAGATGCTTCAGCAAGTGGATGTCATGCCAGAAACACAAATTATTTGGTGTAGACGCTTGTCTACATCCTGGCTAGCCAACTGCAGAGCTCCACGTCTTGTTTCGCTAGTCAACCCTGACTAGCAATGCAAGCGAATGCAGACATCATCAAACAGTATCATTAATATCACAGGCAAGTGAAATTTTGCTAAAGTTCATTCAAAAAATGGTCGCAGTTGTACCTTGACAAGGTACTGCTAAACCCGCACGCCAACTTCAGAAGCATGATGCCGATGCTGGTGTCGGGGGCATCTGGGAACTAGTACAGAGAATACCCCAAGTGTTCACTTGTGTTTTACTGGCTCTGCAAAGGCACCTGACTTCGTAGATCATAACAAATTATGGATTACCTGGTGACAAATAGGAATTCCAGAACCTTGTGCTTATGTGGACCTCGTCCAAAGACCAAAAGGCAATCTCTTTGAATAAACAAAACTGAGACGCTGCAGAGCTTAAAACCAGGAAAGGGGTGTGTCAGGGCTGTATCCTCTCGCCAGACGTACTGCGTTAGACTGGGTACCCTAGAGAAGCAAATCCAGAGGCACTCGTCTATGTAGGAGCACTTTATATCAAGAAGTATCTATCAAGAAAACATCTCAGCCGAGTCCTACTCAAGTCCGTAAGTCTGATAATCTCCCATAAGTCTGATACTAGTTGATCGATCCCTCTTGCAATGATGCAGAATGCAGGAAGATCACAGGTCAGTGAG